GCTGAGCCACCAGGCAGCAGCCCCATCCCACAGGGCAGCCCTGGGGCCAAACCTCCAGCCCTCCAACTCAGGGCCGCCTTGCTGCCCGCTGTGCGAGGTACAGGGCTGGCAGGGAGCTGAGCCTGCACCCATGCTGTGCCCATAGCGCCTGGCCCGAGATAACCATCGCTGCCCTTCCCTGGTGGGGCATGGCCATGTCCTGACATCCCACGGCCCAACCTCATGTCACCAGTGCCCAGAGCCACCCACCTTGATGATATTCTGGACGGCGATGACATAGCCAGCGTGGCGCAGCCCCACCGGCTGTCCGGGGGCCAGGCGCTTGTAGCCCTTGTCCACCTCCTGCAAGAAAGTTCATGGCTGCACGAGGGGTCCCAGAGCGGGTCCCCTCTCCAGCAAGTCTCTCTGTCCCCATGACTGTGTCCCCCCACCCACTCCTGCCATCCCAGGGATTGGCACACCAGGGCTGTTTGAACTTCCATGTTGCTGCGGGACGTTCCCCAGCACACAGGCCAGGTGTGGGCACCATCGGTTGGACATGTCCCGGCCAGGCTGAAGGCAGTGGGCATTTTCCCCATGCCCATCAGAGCTGCTGGCACGTCTGGGAGTCACGGTCGGGTGACTGACACCCACCTGTGCCCCGAGCAGCCCCAGAGCAGATCCAAGCAACGCCAAGCTCCCCTTTTTTTCCCGAGCCATAGCTTCCAGGCGCAAGGCAGTATGCCCAGTGGGCCTGGCTCACCTCCCTGAAGTCCGTCTCCTCGATGTAGACGGTGGGCTGGAAGGGCACTTTGTGAAAACCCCGGCTCTCATCAGCTGGAAAGTTGGGCACAAGGACCTCGAGCGCCTGGGGAGAAGGAGGGGTGAATGCTGACCTTGGGGAACCCCACTCCCACCCCAGCCCGTGGCAGTCTCACCTTTGGGGCAGGGAAGTTGGTGATGGTGACCTTGAGGGGCTCCAGGACAGCCATGGCACGGGGTGCCTGCTCGTTCAGCACCTCCCGTGCACATGCCTCCAGCAGATGCGGCTCCCTCGACACCTCCGCCACAGTGACCCCGACCTGCAGGCCAACCTGCCGT